AGTATAAAGGGGGCTGGAGAGATGGCTCAGTGGTTAAGAGCACTGACTCCTCTTCCAGAGGACCAGGGTTCAATTCCCAGCACCCACATGGCAGCTCACAACTGTCTGAAGATCCAGTTCCAGGGGATCTGACACCTTCATATCAATGCACATAAAATAAAAGTTAAATAAACTATAAGAAATGTTTTAAAAAAAAGTATAAAGTACATAAACAATTAGATAAACTTATGGAGAAGCTGATCAAGACACATAAATTAGGAAATAAAAGTATCCATTTAGCTGGGCGGTGGTAGCACATGCCGTTAATCCCAGTATTCAGGCGGCAGAGGCAGGCAGATCTCTGTAAATTCAAGGTCAGTCTGGCCTACAGAGTGAATTCCAGGACAGCCCAGGCTACACAGAGAAACCCTGTCTTGAAAAACCAGAAAAGGGTATCCATCTAAATTTTCCACATTTGATTTTTTTTCAAATTAGTTATGTTCAATATACAATTTTTGTCATTTAGGAAGTTCTTTATTGTAAAGATAATCCTTTTGTCTGATGGCAAACAGCAGCTATGATAATTACTCTGAATCTCCACACTGGATGAATTCTTATTCTTGAGAAAATTCCTTCTGTATTTCCGGGGTCATGTTCTGTTATTTCTACAGTGTCCATTGGACCCTGATACATCAGCAGACCTGACATTTACTTCCTTTAGAGTGCTGTGCAGTCAGAGAACAGTGAGATAGTAGTCCTGCTGCTTCCAAAGTTTCTGAGGCTCCAAGGTTAGGATTCTCTCTTCCGCCAGAGAACCTTATTAATGTGACTTCGTTACCTGAATGCTTCTGCTTGGTGGACACCATACTGCTGCCTATCACCTATGTCACTGGATTTTGATGGTTTGGTTTCTAAACTGTCTCTTCCCCTGGACCTAACCAGGAGCAAAGGTTGCCCCATAAGCACCATGGCCCTTGTCTGTCATTGCCCAATGGGCTGACACACTCATGCACAGACTGCCCTGTGAAGACAGCTGACCTTCAGAGTGAGAGGAGGCCCTACTGGAGACAGGAAGAGCTGTCCTGAGGACAGGTGCTACATAGGTGTGGCCAAGTGTCCAGAGCCTGCCTCAGCAACCAGCCTCCCGAGTGTTGTGAGCGTAAGTGTGCTTCAGCTCACTGGGGCACCTTTCCAAGTCATAAGATGCCCCTGCTTAATCTTCTCAGTCAGAATCTCCAGTAAATGAGGCTGAAGAAAAGATCTAGGAGCCAGGCGGTGATGGCACACCCCTTTAATCCCAGCACTCAGGAGGCAGAGGCGGGCGGATCTTGGTGAGTTTGAGGCCAGCCTGGTCTACAAGAGCTAGTTCCAGGACAGGTTCCAAAGCTACAGAGAAACCCTGTCTTGAAAAACCAAATAAATAAATAAATAAATAAATAAATAAATAAATAAATAAAACAAAGAAATAAGACCTGGGAAAGGACCTCATGTGCACTTCATGTACTGCCGCACTTGAGCTCCGAGTGACGCAGCTAGGATATACCCTGATTTCTTTCCGTTGTTACTCTAGAGAAGATAAGGTCCTGAAGTGGGGCACCAAACTTCCAGATTAGCTTCCAAATAGGTCTCAATGCCAGGCCTACTCAGGGGCTGCTTACACTATTCTCAGCAGACAAAAAAGGGCTGCCCCTTGCAGCAAGGGTGAGTTCAGGGACTACTCCCCTAAAGCCCTAATGGGCTTTCCTTAGCTCCTCATGCCCCAACCTGGGAAGGACGAAGACTCTGAGCTCCGAGGACTGTCCCGAGTCATCTGCAGAAGAACACAATGCCAGTGTCCGTCTGCTTGCTACAGGCCCATCCTCTGCAGAACATCTCCTTCCCTTGAAGCTAGCACCCAAACACTAATTGATGGGTGCTCTAGATGAAGGCTGCCAGAGGGCAGTTTGCTGTTTTACTCCTGCAGGGAGGATTTCCTCAGGCAACCACCTGATCACAAGAGTCCAGATGAGCCGGGCTATATATCCTGACAGATATATTCTTTCATCTTTTCTTATTGCCTTGGGCACTGGGGTCTCCAAGGTGATTTAACCTGTATTCCTTTCCAAATGGGCATGTGAATGATTTTTTTAATAGTTTATTTTAACTTTATTTTATGTGCATTGATGTAAAGATGTCAGCTTCCAGGGAGCTGAAGCCACAGGCAGTTGTGAGCTGCCATGTGGGTGCTGGGAATTGAACCCTGGTCCTCTGGAAGAGCAGCCAGTGCTCTTAACCGTTGAGCCATCTCTCCAACCCGAATTACTTTTCTTTTTCAAAAGTCCACCACGGTGCTAGAAAGTTGTCTCAGAGGTGAAAAAAAACATTTCATGCTTTTGCAGAGGACTCAGACTCAGTTTCTATCACCTACATGATGGCTCACAATTATATGTAACTCCAGGTCCAGGGGATCTAAAAACCCTCTTCTGACCTCCTTGGGCACCCGGCATGCATGTGGTGGACATATATACATGCAGGCAAAAACAATAACAACAACAAAACAACATTAAAACCCCACCAAGCATGGTGGCGAATGCCTTTAATCCCAGTACTTAAGAGGTAGAGGCAGGTGGATTTCTGTGAGATGGAGGTCTGCTTGGTCTTACATAGAAAGACCCTGTCTCAAAAACCAAAACAAAGGGTCCTGCGGGTCCTGCTACATCCACCAATGGGCAGCCCTCGCCATGTCCTCAAGCTGATGAGACCAGGCGTAGGCAGAGACCTGACAATTCAGGGCGGAAGGGAGCTGCCATTAACACTAATGAAGCAGCCGGGCTGAAAGCTTTTTACTGAAAGCCGTGTGCCCACCCTGGGAACAGTGCGTTCTGTTCCCTTGGTTTACAGGAGCCCTAGGTGGGAAGGAGCTTGGGGACTGGAGCAAGGGTGGGGGCTTAAAGGAGGGACAGAGGAGGGAGAGCCAGAGGCTGTGATTTTAGCTGGGAGAGCTTTTTTGACCTGTCTTCCAAAGAAACCTTGGGTCTAGTTCTTTACTCCACTCCTGCCTGGTGACACTCACTGGCCCTTTGGTGTCCTTGACCAAAGTTCCTGGAACAAAGGAAACAACAGGCCATAAAGAGGCTAAGCAAACATCTGTGGGGCCAGAAATTAAATTACGATCACAGGGCCGCCTGCCTCATTATTGCTAATGGTTCTAGCCTGATCCATCCCTAGGTTCTGCTCTTAGGGAAATTTTGGGGTCTGGACACCCTATTTTGTTCCCAACGTTTAATTGGTTCCTGGAGGCTTATGTCAAATTGGATAGGTACTTCTCTCAATGGTTCAGGCTCTAGGGAGAAAGTCAAACTGTGTCCCCCTTTTCCAGGGAGGGCCCCTCATGCCCTGGCTGCAGAAATCAGTCACGTGCAGGCCCTTTATTAGACTCTGCCATATAAGCTCTGGGCACAAGTGGCCGGGAACTCTCCAGGCAAGGATCAGCAAGCAAAGGTAAGTACAAAGGCTAGGCAGGAATTCTGACTTTCTGCGATGTCTCTCTCAGCATTTGTAGGGTATTCTAAAGATGAGGAGAAACTAAATAGGGGGTTTTCCTGCCCAGCCAGGCCATGCTGACTGTAATGCTGCTGAGTTGTGCCATGCTGCTGGCACTGCCTCCCACGCTGGGGGTCCAGATGGGCTTGGCACCCCTGGAAGGCATCAGAAGACCTGGCCAGGCCCTGTTCCCAGAGTTCCCAGGTGAGTATGGTCAGGTCGGGGATGTGTGGGACTAGGACAATTGCTGGTCACAAATCTGCCTGTATGGGCTAAACCCTTGTTCCCAAATCCCAATCCTGGGAGGTGGGTACTTGGTGCAAGGCGGGCGTGCCACTCACATCCTCTGCCCCAGGTCTAAGTCTGAATGACCCAAAGAGGACAACTGCAGACCGAACAGAAGAGGCTCTGCTGCGGAAGGCAGAAGCTTTGGCGGAGGTAACGCCTCAGGGAAAGGGATAAAGTAGCAGGTAGGGATCATCAGATAGCACCCTCTCTCTCCACTTCCGGACCATCCAAGCTGGACAGACCATCCCTGCCCCACACTCCACTGCCATCCTACTGGGATCGGGGTGGGAGATGTTTCCTGAATCTGCGGTCAGACGTTCTTGTTCCCCTATGAATGCAGGTGCTAGATCCACAGAATCGCGAGTCTCGTTCTCCTCGTCGCTGTGTAAGGCTGCATGAGTCCTGCCTGGGACAGCAAGTTCCTTGCTGCGACCCGTGCGCCACGTGCTACTGCCGCTTCTTCAATGCCTTTTGCTACTGCCGCAAACTGGGTACTGCCACGAATCTCTGCAGCCGCACCTAGCCAACGGATGTTGGGCAAACGCAGGGACGCGAATAAAGGATGGGACCAATCCTAAAGCTGTGGTTATTTTGCATATGGTTATCGATGGGTTGTTGGGTTCCCCGAAGGGTAGGGCGCGTCGTTATGCCGGAACTACACACACTATAACCTCGGGGTCTAGGCTACTCCATCTTCTGAGTCACGTAGACTGGCGATTTTTAAGGCACCAGGCCCCTGTGGGGATAGCGAGAGGTCACACGCCAGCCCCAGAGACTCTAGTGCGACAAATGCAGGGAAAGCGAGCGCAGTGCAGCTTACGGGATGTAAAGTCTAGTTAGTGGCTAAATATTGATTTCAAAACCTTCTCTGGACCTCCGTTTCCGTCTGGTAGGAGGCAGCCTCGGCAGCGTAAGAAACAGCACATATGCTCACCTTTACCTGGTTGGCCCCGACAGAGCCAGACAGAAGCGCCTAACTCGGGAAAACTAAATTGATGGACCCCGCTCGAATCCTGCGGGTTTTAGCACCACCACGCGGTCGACTTCCAGCATCGTCGTTGCTTTTTTTGCTCTACGCTAGGCGTCCAAGGCCCAGCCTTGCCTTAGTGCGCAGGCGCCCTGAGGACGGCGAGCCGCTCACCCCTGAGCTACGCTTGCGCGCCAGGCTACCCGGAAGCTGGGTACATTTAAGAGCCCGCCTGCTGTGGTCACGTGAGACGCTTTGCGTCACTTGACGCACTTGACAGCCCTCTGCGGGCGCCGAGTCAGCTGATCTGGGAGTCGAGTTGCGTGCGGGCTGATCAGGGCTCTCTGGTCCTGCCGTCTCCGCCGTCCCTGCCGTCCCCGCCGTCCCCGCCGCAGCCATGTCGTTCTTCCCGGAGCTTTATTTCAACGTGGACAATGGCTACTTGGAGGGATTAGTGCGCGGCCTGAAGGCCGGGGTGCTCAGCCAGGCGGACTACCTCAACCTGGTGCAGTGCGAGACTCTCGAGGGTGAGCCGCGGGTCTGGTCTGACTGAGGGGCCTTGAAAGGCCGGAATGGAGGCCGCCCTGAGCCGGGAAGCCGGTAACGGAGGGTCTTGAAGGGCCTGCGAGGCCTCTGGGAATCCGCGAGCGGATGGCGGGCATGTCAGAAGGGAGTCTACCTGTAGCTGCGACTCGGCGCAGGGGCCCAGACATAGACAAGACTTTAAAAACCGCAGTGGTTTGCCTCTGTTTGGGTTACCTCTAACCTCGTTGAGCTAGCCCAGTAATTTAGAAGGACGAGCCCCTGAGGATTGACTAGCCGGCGCGAAGTGTCTGCCTTCAAGACTCTTCACCCTGGCCCAACCCAGGGCCATTCGGGTGGCAGTGCATGGGGAAGTTAGGTGGAAAAGCCTCTCCCCTCCCCCAAGGTCTTTGGAATCATTGTGTTTTGGTGTTGGTCTGAGGGTTGAGCCTTCCAGGGGAATTGCTAAGCCAGTTTGGTGGGAGGTTCCTCCCAACTCTGAACCGCTGGTCGTGCAGTGCCTTCCAGACGGAATGTTTGGGAAAGCAAGAGGTAGCCCTGTAAATCTGAAGTCCGTGGACAAGTGTCTGGCCCTGACTCCCACCCACCCCCCAGCGAGAGGCCATGCCTGTTGGGATAACAGTTTCTTACACAAGAGAGACAGAAACTCAATTCCTCTTTCATAACACTGAATTTAGAGCAGCGGTTCTCAGCAGGTGGGTCGCGACCTCCTCCCCCTTGGGGCAGGCCACAGGTTGCCTAAGACCATTGGAAAACACAAATATTTATGTCATGATTCATAACAGTAGCAAAATTACTGTTCTGAAGTAGCAACGAAAATAATTTTATAGTTTGGGGTCACCACAACATATGGCACTGTATTATATGGTCATATGGTCGCAGGTATTAGGAAGGTAGGGAGCCAGTTCTCTAAAGGAAGATGACATTCAGGCCCATATGTAGCAAATGTCCTCTGTTAGAGCTGTCCCTAATTCCAGACCCTCCGACCTGGTGGTAGTGAAGGGTGGGGATGCGGCTTCCTGTCTCTTCGTCCTAAATGATTCCTTTGAAGAAAGGTACTTCTAGCTGGAGGAGGAGGCTTGGTGTTTCACCCTGTTTAGAACCTTCTGGTCAAATACTTCTGGAGTTAAATTGAACTCATCCAAATATTGTTTACCTTGAAAACTAGACCTGTCAAGTGAAAAATAGTGCTACAATAATAGGACACTTTTTGACGTAAGAGTGTAGCAGTGCATGTTATGGTTTTCATGTTAACCTGCAAGGAAGTTTGTTCACCTTCATTATAACAGTGAAATGGGGAGGAGAGGATACATGAAGATGCTGGGTTGTGGGAACCAGCCACGAACCCTAGTTTGACTCCACTGTTGGAAGAGGAGAAATAGAGAGGCTGCCTGGAGCATGGCCTAATGCCTGCTTCGCACTTACTGTGAGTTCTACGGTTTGACTAGAACTGGAGGAAGATTCTTTGTTTTCCCTGTTACAAAGATGTTTAACTTTTTCTTTGAGGAAGATCCTTGTTTGGGTAAATGCAAAGGTGAACATAATTGCCCTGTTTTGGCTTCTCTTCTGGCTTTCCTTACTCCTTCTGCTGCCTGCTCCCCTGTGGAGTTGCTGGGAACCTGTGTTTCTGTCTTTCCAGCAGATACCCATCATCAATAATAAACATATTAGGACATTCTTCCCGCCAAACTGTTTAGCAATGGTCCCCTTGTGGACATTATCCAAACTTTCAGGGTGGCATTTAGGGACCCTTGCTCTTTCACACATACCCTTCTCCCTTTTTTTGGTGGGGGGGCACCACCTTCCCCTCCTTCCCCTTTACACACAGTATACACAGAGGTGATCGGACTTGAGAGTCAACCTGCCAAATGCTGAATTCCTGTAGACAAATGGTTAAAATCTCTGGACATACGACTCTTCATCTGGCATATAAGCAGCATCTATCTCATAAAGGCTATGAGATGGATGGTCACAGTGCTACTGTGTAAAACACAGCCCAGCACCAAGAACCCAGTAAGGGCTAAAGACAAAGTCCGAATTCAGGATATCTTAGCTTATATTGTCTGTTACTTACCTTGCTGTTCTCTCTGCTTGCTTCTTCCCCCACAAACACTGTCCCACTACCACCTTCCTTTTTTCCAGTATTATGATTTAAGTCCTGTAGATACTTGGAAAGTAGTTTAACCACTGAACTGTAGCCCCCAGCCCTCTTTTTGTTGTTTTGTTTTCGACACAGGGTAGCCTTGGCTATCTAGGAACTTACTCTCTAGAACAAGCTGGTTTTAAACTCAGAGATCCGCCTTGCCTCTGCCTCTGCCTCCTGAGTACTGGAATTAAAGACATAAGCAGCCACTACTGCCTGGCTTTCAGCCATCTTTTTTACTTTTATTTTGAGACAGTCTCTCTAACTTACACTGGCTGGTTTGTACTCTGTAGCCTCAGCTGGCTTTTTTTGTTTTTTGTGTTTTGCCTACTACTCTAGTAGTAGGTGGATCTACGGTGGACGGTGGGAGGTTGTGTGTGGGGTCGTTCTGCAGGCCTCTGGGCGGTGCTGGCTGACGGTCACGGAACTACATTCCGGGCCGGGAATCCAACTCGGGTGCTCGGGTAGAGTGGTTGGGTGCTCTGCCCCCTGAACCGTCTCTCCGGCTTCTCAGCTGGCTTTGATATTGTGATCCTACCCTCCATTTTAGCCTCCTAAATAGCTGTAATTGTTTTTATATTTTTGTGGGGTTTTATTTTTTATTTTTTCGAGACAGGGTTTCTCTGTGGCTTTGGAGCCTATCCTGGCACTCGCTCTGTAGACCAGGCTGGCCTCAAACTTACAGAGGTCCGTCTATCATCTCTGCCTCCCCCCTCCCAGTGCGTGCTCTGATTAAGGGTGGGTGCCACCACCATCTGGCATGTGTTTATTTTTTAAAGTTATGTATGTGTGAACATGTGGATGTGAGTTTGGGTACCTACCATTGGAGGCCACAGAAGGAGCTGTGTTCACTGGAGCTGGAGTTACAGGGGACTATGAACCATGCTGGGAATTGAATGGAAGAGCAGCCAGTGCTCTTAACTGCTGCACCATGTCTTCAGCCCCTTATTAGTTTGTTTGTTTGTTTGTTTGGGACAAGGTCTCACTCTGTAGCCCAGGCTGATTTAGAATTTACCATATAGCATAGGCTTGACAGGATTAGCAGTAATCCTCCCAAGTGCTGGGTTTACAGGTGTGAGTTACCATAGGTGGTTGCCAACCTCATCATTGAAACTCTGGCCATGGTTGACCAGAATGTCGTCTCCTCCATTCAGTCATAACTCCAGTGGTGTTTGTCAAGGCTACTTTTCCAGAAATTTCTTGACTTAGGTTTGGTATTCCAGGGACTTTGTATGTTGAAGATGCACAGGACTTTTTTTTTTTTTTTTTTTCCGAGACAGGGTTTCTCTGTAGTTTTGGTGCTTGTTCTGGAACTAGCTCTGTAGACCAGTCTGGCCTCGAACTCACAGAGATCTGCCTGCCTCTGCCTCCCGAGTGCTGGGATTAAAGGCATGTGCCACCACCTCCTGGCTAAGATGCACAGGACTTTTAAGGGCAGAACATAATCAGAAGCAGAAAAGAGGGCCAGTGAGCAAGTTCAGCAGGTAAAGGCACTTGCTGCCAAGCTAGATGACCTGAGTTCAATCCCTACGACCAGCTCCCACAGTTGTCTTCCGACCTCTACAGAGCGATACTTTCTTTTTGTTTTGTTTTGAGACAGGGTTTCTTTGTGTAACCCTGGCTATTCCAGAGCTCATTATATAGATCAGACTGGCCTCTGAACTCAGAGATCTGTCTGCCTCTGAAGTTCTGGGATTAAAGGTTTGCGCCTTCACACCCGGCTCCCCAGTAAGAGCTTTAAGCATGGTCTAGCATGATACAGATTTTAAAGAGAATGTTTCAGGTGTTGGGCAGTTTCCAGTAGGCAGAGGCAGGACTAAGGGTGTTTGCTTTGCAAGACAGGTGCAATGGTATGGTTCTGTAATCCCACACTCAAGAAGGTTGGGGAATCATGAGTTCAAGACAGGCTTGAGATCCTGACTCAAACAAAACAGAGCAGGAAATATATGGCAAGTATTGTACCCACTCCAGCAGGGTGTCTGCTCCAGTGACTTCCCCCTCTGATAGAACTGTCTCTTTAAGATGTCCGATGCCCATTTATTCCATATTGTACATTGTATATGACTCTTCAGAAGTGTGAAAAAGAACCATCCCTGCTGGGTGGTGGTACAAACCTTTAATCCCAGAATACAGAAGATAAAGAAAGGCAGGCAGAGCTCAGTATTCAAGGCCAGCCTGGTCTACAGAGCGAGTTATAAGACAGCCAGGGCTACACAGCCTGTCTCAAAAATAACAACAACAACAACAAAAAAACCCACAAAACAAAAAAGCAAAATGGTGATTGTATTAGATTGTATTCTTTTTATCAAGCAGGTTTGAGGACCTGTGTTCAGTTCTGTGGAACCCACATAAAGCCAGGCATGCTAGTGTTTGTCTGTAATCTCAATGCTCCTATGGGGAGATGGGAAGCAGAGACAAAAGAATTTCCAGGAGTTTGCAGGCTGCCTAGCCTGTTGAACTTAGTAACAAGCAATAAGACTCTCTGACTCAAAAACAGTGGAACGTGAGGACTGACACCCAAGGTTGTCCACTGACTCCTGTGGGCATGCTGTAGTAAGTGTGTAACTGTACACACACACACACACACACATATCTGAGAATGTAAGTGAGGAAAGAATTTTAGCTCTTGGCTTTAGAAACTTCAGTACATGTTCAGCAGGCTGCACTGTCTCTAGACTATGGTGAGGACGAGCATTAAGGACAGGGAGAACTAGTGCTGTTTACCTCATGGTGGTCAGGAAGCAAAGGGAGTCAAAGGAAGAGGCCCATGGCCAAGTACAGCTTTCAAAGCTCTGTCCTCATTGACTTATTTCTTCCCGTTAGTCCCTATTTCCTAACAAC